GGTTGAGGAGCAACTTTTATCGCTCGATGAATCTTCCTCACTGCACGTGTCTGAGCAGTCGTCCCAAAAACACGGTGAAATCGCCTTGGTGCCCGAGAGCTCAAAATTCCCTGCCTCGCTGCTCTCCGTCTCTTCTTCTGAAAGAGTAGCAGCATAGTTTATCAGATCCTCGTCGCATCCGGGTTCCATCCATGCGTCATAGTAGCGAACAATATTTTTATGGCTGAGAGCCGCCAAACTCTGAACCTCCCTCAGGACTTTTTCCGATTGGTCTTTCTTGGTAAGAATCTTCTTGACAGCATAAAGACGGCCATCCACTTTCTTTCGACAAACAAAAACTGGGGCAAATCCGCCAGAACCCAGCATGCGTTGCTGAATAAATTCGTTCTTGTACCTTCCAGGTAAAATGTTTTGAAAGGTGCCACTCCTCTCTTCATGTGACCAGAACCACTTGGTAATGATGTCTGACCCATCCATAGATTCTCGAACTTCTTCGCTAAAAGCGCGCTGTGTATAATCGTACTTCCAAGGTATGCATTTTTGTAGCTTTTTCGGTATGACCTTCACGTCATTTATCAAGTAATGGCCCAGTATATGAAAATTGCTTTTGGCCTCCTCCATGGATTCAGGATCCCTCAGATGGCAACATTTATTGAGTAAATGAAGCAAAAGAACACAGAGTTTAATAACTTCCCGCGTCTTCATTGTCGTCTGGGAAGGCGGATGTTCCACAGTGTCGGTAGATTTCACATGAGTTGGTGTACATGAACGTTGAATGCCGTTAGATAGCACCCTCTCCACCACTGAGATGATCTGCATTATACAAGGGGCGCCAACAAGAAGACAGGGGCTGATGGCTTCTCGAATATCTGCCTGAATCTGATGCGCCCCCGACTCATCCAGCGCCCCGATGCTCCCGGGCGTGACCCCTTCTGGGATTCGGAGCCGCACTCTGGGGGCAACAAAAGGGTACCCGGCAACAATGGCAACCTCAAGCACCACACGATGCCTTGGGTTTGACTCTGCCTCAAGGGTGAGTAAAACTTTCGGATAGAATCCCTCGAGCTTCACAACCTCAATGCCGTCATAGTTCTGCTTCAAAAACTCAATCTCATCCTCTATGACGTCACTGACCTCTGTCTGCCCCTCAGCTATAATATCGAAAATAAAACTTGTGTTGGAGCATTCCTCAGTAAAAACCATAAAAAATTAATACGATGCTTTGACTTGTTGCTTCCTTTTATTTCCTTCTCTCTTCCTCTTTTTTTCTCTTTTTTTTCCCCCCCGTGACTCTGCACCTCACTTTATCGGTGTGTCGCCGTCGTTTGTCGTTGTTATTTTTGTTATGAACCTTCTTGGAGCGTGCAAAGGAGAAGGTGCAGAAAAGAGAAAAGGAGTAAAAGCACATCAAATTTATGTCAAAAAAAAAAAAAACGGGATCGTGGTCCGGTGGAACCCCAAAGGAAAAAGACACACACAAAAAAAAAGGTGCAGGGCAAAGTACAAGACTTGTTCCTTCAAAAACAGCAAACGTTCTGCCGTCACACGGCGTGGGCCCTTCACCGTGAGACGATGTCTGTAGAGATCCACCGTGGTACGGTAGCTCCCCTTAAAAGCGTCTTTGTGTCGAATTTTCGACTCACACATTGTCTTCTCCGCATGACACGCCACGCAGAGGGTTTGGAGGTTGTCCATAGTCGCCTCACCTCCGCCCTGACTCACAGGCAAGATGTGATCTGCATTCCAGATGTTTCCGGCAACTGGATTTTCGACAATTCGCCTAAAAAGTGCCGGATGTTGCCGCATCTGCGGATGCATACGGTCCAAAATGGCTTCTCGCTCTTTCCATGTCGTTGCGGCCCCTAGCAATGAACAGAGCATCTCGCAATCAACCTGGCAGTGAAAACAAATGCCTTTATCAGCCTCTCGGAGACTTCTTCGAGCAACAGATCCGGAACGCTTAATATAAAAGGCCGCACGACACCGACCACTGCAAAACATGTCTGTATCCTTTTCGATGCACACAACATCACCGGGCGATGGAGAAAATAGGGTTGGAAAAATGCCTTCGCACTCCAAGCAGAGCGGCACGTAGCCATTTCCCGAGATCCCCAGTTGTGCCGCGTATGGATGTGATGGGTACGGATGTCGCTGAACCTTCCAGAAAAACACTCTTCCCAGGACGGGTCGATCTTGAGCATAGCGAACAAAAGTTTTTCGCTGCCTCTTTTCTCTCCGCCATGAGAAATTCGATGGAAGCCAAACAGAACTTAACCGCAGTGGCGACGCTCAACCAA